TTTTTTTTTTTTTTTTTTTTTTTTTTTTTTTTTTTTTTTTTTTTTTTTTTTTTTGCTATTACTATTAGTTAGTAATTTGTGACATATCTATAGGGTCTAAGCATGTACCAACTACGACAAAAGGTCTTTTAAGACTTAGAGAAGACTTTTAAGAAAAGGCTCTTTCCATGGACTGTATGATTGAGGCAGTATCAAACTTGAAGTTTCTGAAGCTCTTGCCTGGGCCAGTGTCGGGGGTGGAAACATGAACATCCATGTCTGGTTTACTTAATTGGCTCTCTATCACGATTGTACTGCTGCTACCTATCGAGCTGTTCTTAGCCTTCCATACGGTTAATCCTTGAAAAACAAGAACAGACTCCATTAGCAAAACTCAGAAAGGCATATTGGTAGATTGGTCTGGTAAAAACTAGGAAGGAAGTTTATGCAATTAAAAGAATGTAAAGGTTTTGGGTTATGGCTTGGAATTTGGATGCGTATAACTTGTTTTGAGAAAAATAAATTTTTGGAAATCAGAAGCGAACTCGTACTGATAATAAGTGCAAAATCTTATAATCCATAAGTGAAGAAAAGAAACCTCTTATTGACACATCGGGTTTTGAAGCTACAGGGGGCTGATGTGTCGAAATCCATGACCTCAGAGATCTGCAAGAAGATGCTGATCCTTTAGAACATCATTCGTTAACGATGTGGAAGAAATCATTAAGAATATACAGATGTACTCACGCCAAAAAAGGAGCAACCATATAAAGCTTGAGACCGTTCATCCCACGAGATATAACATTATCACCAGCTGGTTCAAGATCACCAAGTCGATGCCATGCAATTTCCTGTTTACAAATAGTTAAGTGCATGCTATCAACTACAAAAGATTCCATTGAAAACATAGCATCAATAAACACACCCACCCCCACCATCACCAAAAGAGAGAGAAGAAAAAGAAGGATATTACAATCATACCGTACTAAAATAGCTTCAATACTATTTAAACACGTTTCCCCCTTTTCCTAAGATACCCAGAAAATTTGCGAAACCCATGTTCACTTCAGTTCAAAATGAAAGCTACCACCGACATGCAAAAAATTTTATAGGCATGGGATGTTTAATTTTTCAGACAGGCATCCAAAAGGAATGGTAAAGCCAAACCTCTAAGTTGAATCCAAGAATATTATATGTTCATCAGTATTACAGCCCATTGAGTTGAACATGTTATGAAACGCAAAAACATGGTAATTTAAAAGTTCAGGATAGCCAGGAGTGTTGTTGCTAAATCTTCTTAAAGCTTTTAACCAAAAGCTATTAAATCTCAAAATTCTTACATGCATGGAGCAAACCTACAGCATATTTTAATACTAAAAAACAAAGACGTGATTCTTGATAGAAGCCAATGCTGCAAAGGATTAGACTAAACTCAAGATTTCATCAACGCATCCTTCTTTCATTAACAAGAACAATACTTTTTCATTTTTAAGAATATTACATCACAAAGCAGGGTGGAGATTAAAATTTACGAATCTTACATTAAGGGAGGTAGAAATGTCTTAACTAGTAAGTCATGCTCAGGTTGGCAACAAGACATTTTAAAGTAATAAACCATGCTACATATTACAAATGCTTGAATTTTCAATCAAATCAAAGGCTGTCAAAAGACCTGATGACAGCCTACACAATCGTGAAAAAAAAAACCAAAGATTCATCAGCACATTCTTTTTCAATAGCATCACGGTTGCATGAGTTTTGATATGGCATAAAATAAATACAGCATTGAGAAAAGAGAGTTTTATCAACTAATGAGAATATTGACATCTTTTTTTTTTTTTTCCGGGAAGAATATTAGTGTTTCAGAACTAGTAACTTCTTCTTTTTTTCATTTTTTCATTTTTGTGATAAGAATCAAAAGAATATTGCTTGGAAGAACATACAAAAGGAGTGATGAGATATCCCCACTTCTGAAGCAATGATATCGATGTAGATCCAAATTAAAATTCTAACATATTTTGAGGCAAGAAAAAACACATACACTGATCTCTTTCTTAGTTTGTGGGGCAAAGATATTATCATCTTTTACACCAGCAATGATGTAAAGCCGCACCCTTTGCGGTCCAAATATAACCTCTATGTATTCAGATTTGTTGATAAGATTTGTAATGTCAAATCCTGTTTCTTCCAGTACCTGCGTTCACATGGGAGATCTTATATTTATAGGAGACACAGCAGGTGATTTAATAACTGCAACAGGAAATTGATGTCTGAAAAAGTTAACGGTAATAGAGAAACTTTTCACCATCGATAAGTAAAATATTAAACCAAGATTCAGTCTTTCTTGGCCAGATCCTATGGAGGGAAATGGAATAGCATCTAACTAGCTAATTCATTAAACTTCAAGTGAGTTTTGCCGTTACTATCCAAGTAGAATTTACATAAGAATGCCAAAAGTAAGGAGAAAGAGAATCAAGATTACTTCTCTAATGGCACAAGCATGGTCTTCCTCATCTTTGCTCTTTTTACCTCGTGGAAAACTCCAACTTGATCCTTTCCACCCCTTCACCAACAAGCACTGTATATTGCCAATAAGAAATAAAAGGGGACAGTGTCAACTTCCTTTACATCATGTGGGAAAAAATAGCTTGAGCAACTTTAAAGTGTGCTGAGCTTCATTAACAAGAGCTCACCCGTTCAGAGGTCTCATCTAATATGATTGCCCCAGTTACAGGAACTCGAACCTTGTATGAAGTGAAGTCTTTAAAGATATCATCAATATGGGCAACATATGGTTTTAAGACATCACAACTTTTAAACACTGATATCTAATAAGGAGAAACAAGGATGTGCAGAATCGCAGACAACGATGGGCACGTGAATCTGGATTAAGAAGAAAAAAAAAATAGTGTGCTACTAACAAGTATTAATCATCATTAGAGAGAGAGAGAGGACTCCCACTATTATTTTCCCATAATCAATTGGTTGCACAGCTATGCAGGATACGTAACGAAGTGAACTCCTTCAGATTTAATGACTTTAAAGACGGATTTCTTTCCACTGAATTGTCTTCATAAAACCAATGTGCATACTCTATGAGGAAAAGAATCCTTTCAAATGACTGTAGATCTTCCTTCGGCACATTCAAAACAAACCGACTGCAAAAAATCAACACAAAACAATGAAATGTTGAAGCAAATAATGGAGGAGGAAAAGAAATTCAGAGAGCATCGTGCTGGTTAGAAATATGGAAACTAATGGAGAATGAATTGAAGATCCATCAAGATCAAATCGCATACAAAGACTATGGATGTAATGGGCCTAGGAAACAACAACATTTGTTGGAGTAACAGCTTATTTACCTAAAAGAAATTCATATGTATTCTGTACTACGAGAAAGATTTCTTACTCGGTCACTTCTGAAAACTTTATTCTAACAGTAAGGTCCACCAAAACACTAAGCCAACAGAGCTCGTTTTATTGCATAACCCTTCGTTGAGCTCATAATGCCTGATTTAAAGTCTATTCCCCATCTTACATGACCTCTTCCCTAACATTAACCATCCTCCAACATTATCACTCATCATTACACACAATCACAATAACTTCACCTTTGTTACATCAAAGAACATAATGTTTCTTGGAGCGTAAAAATATCCAACCGTCAGTTCAGAAATGTGCCAACAAGCTCCTCATAACAAAAATCATGGACTAACCACACTCGCCGTCATAAACGGAAATTACGCAACATCAAGCATTTTAAAGCTAAGTCAGAAGAGAAATCAATAGAGAAAAAAAAAACCAAATGTACATCCATAAAAGAAATCTCCGTGTAGTCGATCAACTCTAAACCGCATTCCTAGTCCAAAATTCAACTCCCTAAGCTTCATCGCCGTTTTCAAGGACAATTTCTTGCGACTAAACGTACTGCTTTTATTTTTCCAATTTCTAGCTATTACGATCGAACGGAAGCTCTCAATCGTTTGGCAGAACAGATACCAGTAGAATGTAATAAGACATCACAAAAAAGTCAGTCAACCTGAAAAGAATGTGATGCTCGCAGCACACTACCGAGTAGTTCAAAAACAAGTACGAATACTAAAACTAGTGAGAGAGTTGAGTTGAGTTGAGTTGAAGAACTGACCTACAAAGATCGTCGAGGAGTTCCTGAGGAGGAAGACCGTTTTTGACCGGAGCAGTGGAGGAGGAGCTGTGAAGAGCGGCCATGGAATTCCGAATTGGAATCGACGAGAGCGAGATGAAGAGATTCAGCTCCTCTTCGTCGATCCTGAATGAAAGAGCGCCAAAACTGGATTGGATTCACCCAACGCCCCACACACAGGAAGAAGTAGATGCGAAACGATAAAGCAAGCCAATGTAGTCAATCGATTAGTGCGTTTCGACCCGGTTTATAGTTTCCCTTCCGAACCGACCCGACCGGACCACACATCCAAATTTGCTCACCAATGAAATCATACGTATGTGAGAAGTCGGTAGGTCTTGAAAAGACTTTTGAGTCCACCAAAAGAGCCTTCGAGCTCACTCAAGTCCCAAGCCCACCAAAATGGCTCATTCAAAAGACTTCAAGCTAATGCGAGCTCAGTCGTAGGACTCGATATGCTAAATTAGTGGATCTTGAACAGACTAACGACCTTATTCGGTGGACTCGAAGTCTTCTCAATTGTATGCTTGAAAAGACCGTGAACTCATTTTGTTGACTAAAAGTCCACTCTAATACTTGCATGTGAAGTAAGTGGCTCCCCGGTTAGGATTTTATTGTTAATCTCTAATATTTTAGTCAAAAATATGTATGTCCATACTTAAATTAGTAATTTATGTAATAATGTAAGCATATATGAAACAAAATATTACTATTATAAAAACTCGAGTAAATATTTTCACAGTTAATATTTTAAAAAAATAAAGTTAAAATTATTTTTATTAATTTAGGGTTATCAAAATTATAAATTTGAAGTGCATCTGAACCACAGATTTGATTCGAAGTCATGAGATTCAAAACTCTTCAATGATGAGAAAGAGTTATCCACATCTTCATTTGACCAAAGAGAGTCGTAGCTTCTTCACATGGATGACTGACTATACCAAGACGTTTCCTACTACAAGCGCCTTCAACTTGGAGTTGGGTGAGCTTCGGTTCTTCTCTTCATCGGGATGAACGATGCTACGGCGACAACCGCCGTTTCTTCCGTCGTTGATCGCACGCGTGGCGGCTCTATCGCCGGCTGATCCTTTGCATCCTTTACCCAACAAATCCAATTCCAAAACAATCTCCAATTGCTGAGGAACAGACCAGACTAGCGAAGGAATTGGATCGGATCGCTCTGGAAATGCGGGCCATTAACTTAGGGCTCACACTCTCTTCAACTTCTTCTTCTTCTTCTTCTTCGTATACTTCCCTCGGACCCTCTTCCACCAGAAGCTTCAATCCAAACACATCTGCTCTTGGTCATGGCGTCTCTCTTCGTTCTTTACACAAATCAGGCCCAGGTGGGTCTCTTCTTTTTATGGGTTTTTCTTTGATTCTTATTCTTTTTGTTTGTTAATTTACCTTCATCTCGCTAATTTCCATTGATCAGATTGGGAATTTGGTTGCTTGGTTGCTGTTGTGAGTTTTATGTGTTTTATTGTGAGGTCCCATATCGGTTGGCGAGAAACACCCTTATATGTATAGGCTGTGGAAATCTTCCTAGAGGGGAATCCTGACAAGGAAAGCCCAAAGAGGACAATGTACTAGGGAGGAGACTATTCAGGTAGATACGAGGCAGTGTGCCAGTAAGGACGCTAAGTCCCGAATGTGGTGGATTTGGTAGGGATCCCACATCGATTGGAGAAAGGAACAAATGTCACGCTGGGCCCTAAAAGAGGGTGGATTATGAGATCCCACATTGATTGGGGAAGAGAACGAAACACTCTTGATAAGAGTGCGGAAACCTTCCCTAGCAGATGTGTTTTTAAAACCTTGAAGGGAAGCCCGAAAGGAAAAACTTAAAGAAAATATTTATCAGCTAGCGTTGAGTTACGGTTTCATGAGTTTGGTCAAATCTTCCTTTATTGTGGGTATTGATGGAATTCCATCATAGAATTCTGTACTTTCAAGCTTAGAAATGCATATTTGGTTGTTTTCCTTGCAGGAGTTTGTAAAGCCAGTCAAGTTTTTGGTCTATTTCCAACTGTATCTCCTGAGATAACAGTTAGAGAAGCAAGAATAGAGGACTGTTGGGAAGTTGCAGAGACTCATTGCAGCTCCTTCTTCCCACAATACTCGTTTCCATTGGATTTTGTGGTGAGGATTGATAGGCTTGTGGCTATGTTATCTGGATTGTCTGTGCCAAATGGTTGCAGGAGGATTTGTTTGGTTGCTGTGATTGGTGGTTCTGAAAATGAAACACTCCTAATTAGACCTGAAGATTTCAAGCTTGGAAGTTTTGATGGTAAAGTTAGTCTCAACAAGGGCTATGTTGCTGGAATATTAACCGTCGACACCGTCGCCGATTTCCTTCCAAGGAAAGGGCCCATGCGGCAAAGAAGGTGAGTGTAGTAGAGTACGGGTATCAAATCTCGACAATCCTTTATGTTTTAATCATTGGACTAGGGAGGAACAAGAACAATACCCTTTAGCTTAAACTCAGCTAGATTCTTCAAGTGAGGCAGGAAAGTTAGATTTTCTCTTGATTTTGAAGCTTTGACTGATGACGATGAAATGAATTTATGTCTTTTTGTAGGTATCTGATCCATATTTATACCATAGCAAACAAACCATTCACATACAATCATTACTAGCTAGTTGTTCATAAACATCAATATCACTACAGCTCATTGATAAATTTCCAGTAAAGAAGGAGCTGACCTGAAGTAATTTTGTCTGAAAATTTGAGCTCCATGCTTATTTATCAGCTCCCAAGATTCTGATCTTTTGAAACGGTTCTGTACATCAATTCAAATGCCATAATCCTTGCTTGTAATGTATCTTTTGTGACAGGACAGGGATCGCATACGTATCAAACGTAGCAGTTCGTGAGAAGTTTCGACGCAAGGGAATAGCAAAAAAGCTAATACTGAAGGCAGAAGCTGAAGCCAGGAACTGGGGCTGCCGAGCGATTGCGTTGCATTGTGATACGAGCAATCGCGGGGCTACAAAGCTATATAGAGGTCAGGGTTTCAAAAGCATAAAAGTACCAGAAGGAGCAAACTGGCCAGAGCCAAAGACCTCTCCAGACATCAAGTACAGCTTCATGATGAAGCTTCTGAAGAACACAACCTCAATTTAGAACTTCAAAGGACATTTCAACCATTATCTGCAGATTAAAATAAGGGTGGGAGGGAATCCTATAGAAACTATCATTCCTGAACAAAGCAGAAAAGGTAGGATGACTTAGAACAGCTTGTATAGATTGAAGAAAGTTTGTATGATTAATTACATTATGTGGAATTCTTCTATGAACTTCTGATTCAAAATAAGCTGAGAATTTTCTCTAATAATCTAAAAGCATTGTGTTGATATCTTCACACACAACAATTCTTCATTGACGCTTTAAAAATGAAATTCTAACAAATGGTCTAACCCAATTTTTAGAGTCACATTAAATAAATTGAATATATATATGAACTATATAAATATTACTTGAAGTGTAGCACACAAACAGAAACTGAGAATATGGCACTAGGATGGCAGGAAAAGGAATGGTTATCACCAACTGGTATATCATTTAGAGAGTTTTGGGAGAAAAATCTCTGGCTCATGCCTGGAAACTAAAAAACATTGAAACCTATTGAGAAGCAAATGCAATTTTTGGGAATATTTGAAACGTCGAATTTGAAAATTATAGAGCTCGTGTTCCTCAGGAACTTATTCATACTTGAACAAATTTGTCTAGTGCAGATGTATCCAACGCAGGGAATTCCTTTACAGCAGCAAGGACTGTGAGGCCGAGTTTTATGGCATCGTCATGGCTTGGTGCCTAGAACACACATTCACAATTTACTAGCTGCAAAAAAAGCATACCAGAATGGTGACAGCAACTTAGATATGGATGGTTTACCTCGATGTTAAGAGGAAGAACCGGATCGTGCAGTGAGAGCCTCAGAAGGAACCACCCGCCAAATCCAGAAACCCGAACCTGTTTTTGAGTGGAAAAGATTTGTTAAACCTTGCAAAAATCATTTTACATCCATGAGTATTAACTCTTGATACTCTCACATTATTTCTCATTTCCAGTTAGTGAGAAACAAAAGTGTTCGACAAAAGTTCCTGTTTTTTTGTTTTCATTTTTCGGAGTGTAGAAATTTCGGAAACACCAATTTACCATATGGGAAATCAAGGACTGAAACCGTGGAAACATCATTGATGAAGCATAATTTAAATTGGTTTTATCCAGGAGACAAGTCTAAACTTACCCCTTCATAGTTAACAGGAGCTTTCAGAAGCTTGGGATCAGAAGCAACGAGATTCTCAACATGCTTCAGCACTGCTTCTCCATAATCACGGAAGGGTCTGGAAGCATTAATTTATCAGCAACTTTGTGCATAAGCATCAAGAGAAGAATGTCTCATAAAACAAAATCACATAGGCATACCCTCCTTGAAGGTCTGGATGGTTTTGATTTATTTTTAATCGCAACTCGACAGCAACAGCAGGCTCTTGTAAACCGTCCACCAGATCTGTCAAAACTTGGCTTCCACCACCCAATCCTGAGGCTCTTGCTGATGCAAGTTTGTTCAAAATTTTGACCTGAGATTCATCCTTGTATTGTTAAATGAAACAATGAAGCTAAAGAGACAAATTAGATTAGTACATGTAAGACAATTAATATAGAAGAAATTTGTGGGGTGCTGTCGAATACCCACCATGAGATATGCGCCATCGTCAAGCCAATGGTTCTCCTTGAGAGCTCCATGACCACTGGTTTCAATAGCCAAATGCGACTCCTCGCCAACAGAATTCTACATCATCAGTATTTTATTATTTCATTACAAAGGTTACACCGGGCAGGATAAGAGTTGAATATATCAGATAGTCAGGCCAGGCCCAAAAAAGACAATTGACAACAACTGATACTCTTCAGTAAAAGGAGTAAACGTAAGCCCATAAATCGATACATACGCATACCATAGAAGAAAATGTGTTCCTAATGTGTTCATGTCCTACTTTTCTAGACAACGGCATGTTGTTGTGTCGTGTCATGTCTGTGTCATGCTTTTTAGAAATCATTCTTTATTTCTGGAAATTTCCTTGAGAACCTCATTGATCACACCAATCATGGCATTAGAATAGAGTAGAACAGTCAGTCTTACCAAACGAATAGCTTCATCAATTACATTTTTGTAGCCTCTTTTGAACCTGTGATGCTTTCCCCCTGAAGAAACGTTGAGTTAGAGACAAATCTATAACAAAGTTCAAAAAGCTCTGGAATCCTACATACCAAGTTTCTTCTCTATAAACAACGTTAGACCATCAGAAGTCACACTATCTGTAACAATAGTTGTTCCAGGATGCTGGGAAGGAGGAAAACAGAACATAAATAAACAGCTAAACGAAATTAAATCAGAAGTGTATTGTGACCGCTTTTACAAATTAAAGACAACAGCCCTTCAGAGAGCTGATACACAAATACCTCCTCAAGAACAATAGAAGACATCAAGGCAATTAGGCGATTCCGGTTGAACTCACGTCCATTAGAATCCACAGCAGCAGATCTGAACAAAAGGATGATTTAAAACAATTAGGGCATAGCATAAAAACTTTTCAAACATTACCTGTAAGCATTAATAGCAACCACGATCGATACAACATTGATCATTACCTATCCACATCAGTGTCAAAGATGATCCCTAAATCGGCTTTGTTCTGAAGGACAGCCTCTGTTATAGCTTTCATTGCAGTCTTGTCCTCAGGATTTGGGATATGGTTTGGAAATAAACCTGGCACAAAAAAAAATTTCTTTTTTAATTTTCGCAAACAATTTTGAAAGCTGGACCTAACTTCTGCCAAACCAAATATTACCATCTGGCTCCAAGAACTGACTACCAGAAGTGATTGCGCCCAGTGGTTCGAGCACCTTCGCCTGATGAGAGATTGGAATTAAGGATTTGTCAGAGTCTAATTTTCTTGATCAAGTATCTGTTCAATTTCTAACGATATAATTAGGCCAAGTAACTATACTATGGTTGTAAGAGCTTTTACAATGATCACAACAATAACTTATTGTTCTTGTTCTTCATTGTTTCATGATCACCAAGGATTGAAGGAAATTTTAAATATAAATACGAAACAAAGAAAACATAGAGAACCTTCATTAGAATCAACCAACAAAAACAGAACTATAGAAGAACATTTATTATTGTTTACATTCAATTCTATATGGAATTAAAAATGAAAAATAAACAAGATTGTGAAAAGGCAAAAGCAGAAAAAGTTACCACAAGCCCAAAAATGAAGGAATAAAATTAATCTAAACGTTTCATACTACTGGTAGAAATAAAGGATTGATTAAAAATCAGGTGTCTCGAGGGCAGGTACTTACAGCAAAAAATCCTCCTGCACCGTTTCCAGCATCAACAACAATATGGAATCCTTCCAGGGGCTTTTCTGAAGTTCAAGAAATAGACATGACCAAGTCAACCAATTAACTTTAATTTCCATATCCATTTCAGCACAATGAAAAGTTTAGATGATTGTACCTTTATTTCCTGCAGCTTTACGGACTGCCTTCACCAAATCAGATGCATAGACACTCATGTAATCGACCTTCTCTATTGTTGCAGAACCTTTCCCCCTTGAATTTTTCAAATCATCTCTATTATTCAGGTTTTTATAGAATTCTGCAGCACGCCCCAGAATGTCTTTAATGTCAGCTTTGCCAAGCCCACCAGCATTTGTAAAAAATTTGAACCCGTTCCTATTGAATGGCAAATGACTTGCTGCAAAATAACAATATTTGTGATTTGTTAGCACGTTTCGCATGGATGGAAGAAAAAAAAAAAAAAAAAAGATAAATACAGCATGAAAATTTTAGTCTTTACTTTTTTTTTGCAATTATGTGGTTCCGTTCAATGCTTTAAAAGGGCAATTAGAGTTCCCCTAGGCCTCTGATTTCATTTCACATCTCTAATAGAAATCTAATGTGGGCATTATATTAAAATTTGTAGTTGTCACACAGCAGTATCGATTGCAGCCACTCAGCTTTCTGAAAATCCACCATAAATTTTCTCCAAAACCCAATAATCAGAGATTTTTTAATGTGTAGTAGTTTACCTGTTATCATAATGGATCCATCAGCAGGACAAAAAATTGCTTCATCTTCAGTAAGAGTGCTGTTAAACATAGCTGGTGTAGAAGCTAATCTACAAAAGAAGAGCAAATACCAAATATAAGTCTCCCACAAATCGGATCACCAGCATCACAGTTACAAAGGAGAAAAAATATTAGTCCTTGTACTCATCTAGTCCTTAGATAATGTCAGTAGACTCGAAAATATAAAGAAGCTGGATCCGATTATCCAAAATAGTAGAGGCATGATAATTACATTTTTTAAGATTTGCATGCGACTGCTTGTGTGTATTTTTGGTTTCCTTTATTGATTTTTATCTTATTATTATTATTATTTTGTTTTTCAGCACTGTCCGGTTGATTGGACCCTTGTTGTGTAGCCACTATTGATTTTTGTTCTATGGTTTCTCATCAGAGAGAGAAGGGTGGCTATGAAACAAAAATTTCAATCTTCAGAATTACGTGTCAAAAATTTAAACAAGATGCATACAGGTAATAAAATCAATATATTTTATCATCTTATACTTTTTCTCATAAGAATTATCATTTTATCTTCAAAAGCAACAGCAATATTGGCATGAGAATACAACTCACCCGTATTGAATAACATCCAGCCCTGCACCAGCTATACCTTGAGAAATTGCATCCTGAAAGTTAATTGGGATGTCAGAAATGTAAAAATAATAATAACAAATAGAAAAAAAAAATCAGGGCGGATGGGATCTGTCAATGTCTGGATATTTCAGTCAACTGAACATCAAATTGTAGTTTACATATTTAAGCAATACTCATAAAGCATGAGAAATATCAAGGAGCTGATTTGAAACAAAAAAACAAGAACGATTGAAGTATTGGTACATTGAAACCACACAAATTTTTAATTGTCCAAATGTTAGCTGAGTACATTAATAATTCAATGTAGAATTATTAAATCCAAACATCAAGTGGAGGAGAAATACCTGTAACTTTTCAGCTGAAATTCGTGAGTCGTGTCCAATAGAAACTCTAAAGCGTCGTGAACCATCAGCTTTTTTCTTTTCTAATAACCAAGCAGCAAAGCCAGCTCCTATTGCTTCTGCAACTGGTTCAGTAAGATTCACAGGCTCTCCCTCGACACCAGCAACAGCAACGCCTCGAATATCACTGCAAGTTAAGGCAACATTCTGAAATTCAGTAGCCAATACAAACCAGCTACAAAATCTTGGGAAGGAGA